TTACAGTAATATAGAACGCCACCCGCGTGTAACAGTAGAGCATCGTTTGCAGAGCACGTAATCCAAAGAGCGATGGATAAATGGAGACTCGAAACTAAAAGCGTTATTTATATAAGAGACGACGACAGAGAGGAGTGGTGGAAATGAAGAATAAAATTAATCGGATCCCAGAGGACATTTCGGGATTAGTCGCGTACATAGTACATACACATGCGTAAAATGCACACACAAATAAATATCATGCACTAACACATCCATCATTCGTGCATAATATTTCAGTCGGTAAAAAAATAATAATATAATATAAATCGAACGAATGTTGTTTGGTTAAAAACCCCAGGAAAACAAAACCGAATTAAATATATTTTGATTGTTGAAAAATAAATGACTAGTAGGACGAGCTAGGGTGCTCTCTGTACACGACAAAATATTATGTACTCGATAAAAGGTGTTTTTTTTTCCATTTCATTATCCGAATGATACTATCATAACTTCCAAAAACTTATAGGTGCCGATTCATCTGCATTACACCAAAGTTTAAAGCACAGCAATTGGAAAATGTGATCATAAAAGTTTGTCAGCACGATAAAACTTTCTTATAGAGACTTGACGCAGTAATAATTTAATTTCAAATCCTTTCAGCAAACTTGTTTTTTATTTATTCAAATGTACACTATTGACACAAATGTCTGGTCTACCTGTACAACACTTCCGATATTTCACCGTTAGTGACCCTGGGTTTTAAAACATTTTAATAGTATTAACCCTTAATAAAAAAAAAGAGAAATTTAATAAGATTAAAACTCTGATTTACAACATAGCTATCCAATTTTAAAATTGAATGTTGTCATGTTTACATATTTATTTACATTTTCCCGATAGTTTTTAGAAGTGACGGCCATAATTTATTGTTTGTAAGTACATAATATATGCAGCAAATGTGAGAAACTATTTTAATTTTAAAATTTGACCAAACACTCATTCTCAGTTTTAATAAAGCTTCATTTAAAAAAAACCTAATACAATACAAATAATATTTAAAAGAACGACTTCAAACATATAATCACTCTAAAAAATGCATTAATCCTGTACATTACTAGTTTAATAAATTACACATTTATAGTTACCTACCTATAATATTATGTTCACAGATTTAACCATACTATTAGAAGTTAATAGAAATCAAATTTATTTATTTTAATAAATAATAATTGGTGAAATTTATAAACATTTATTCAAATATTAATGATACTTTATCATTATCACCCAAACCGTTTTTCTATAAGATAGGTATAATTTGTTAATATTTCTTTGGAAGTAAATGATTAAATAGATTGCATTTTAGATGTCTCAATATCAAACCACAAACATTATTTTATCACGATGCAATATAGTGAGATCAAAAGTTTACGCTTTCGTGATTTTTATTTCAAACTTCATGTGAATAAATGACTATTTTTTTTATAGAAACTGGGCGTTAAAAACTACAAAGGACATAGATGGTGCCAAGTTTACATTGTATTGTTCATGTATCAAAGAAGCTTTGATACGTGATCGGTTATTTTATATTTTTTTCATCCCACATTCCATGCAATGAATTTTGCGAGGTTTTTCAAAATATATATTGAGAAAAAATTTTACTTGTTCATTATATGTGTTATTGATAAGCAATGGTCTAAATAAAAAACATAATGTAGGTAATTAACTAAATTAATTTTAAAATGTTTTTAAGTTTATCAGCGAATAACAATCAACGTAATTATTTTCAACGTCCGTGATAAATCTATAGACACAAGGAAAAATAGAAAAATAATATCCTCTGTAAACATTTCTAGGCGTCTCTTTAAGTGTTCATATTTTTTATTGTATCCATCCAGTTAAGTAATTTACAAAAATGTAATACCTAATACAATCATAATAAATTATATTAAAATCACTGATTTAAATTTCAAATTTACAGTAGGTGCAAAATATTTTTTGAAAACTTTCATGTATGTTGAACAAATAGTTTTAGTAGTTAAAACCATTTTAACTTTTGACACGAAAGCGAAGAAATATAAAATGTGCTTACTGCTTAGAGATAAAATTACTTCTGCACCGCTCTGCCATCTTGTCTAAACTTTAAATAGTCATAGCTATAGTTGTAAACTGCAAGTTTATAGTTCTGAAAACGTATAGAAAGAATTTTCCAAACAGTGTTTAGAGTTATAATTGAACATAACTTTGAGCTTAAAAATGTTTAAAATTGGCTTTGTGAACAACATAATTTGAAGAGGACTTTACACATTATCAGGAATCCAAACTAGTACCTTGAGTGGTGACAGTGGAGCAATATGATTCTCTGATTCCGGAAATCGTGATGCGAAACAAAATGTTTATTATGTAAATGCACTGAAGAAATTTTAAAAGTCTTTTATGCACTTTCTCGCTCGAAGGGTTTTTCCTCTTAGAGGTACACTATAATAAGTAAAAATAAGACTACTGCTAACGTCATTATTATTAAAACCCCTCTGACATAAGCCGATGTAATTTGCATCTGAAAATATAAGAAAGGCACAGTTAAGAAAACCGTACTTGAGTTTTTTGTTACATTATTGTTGAACAAAAATTGACCGACAATTTTTTGCCAGTTATGAGCCCTGCGAGGTCTCTGCTAATGAAATTCGTTCAGGAATTTCCATGTCTCTAGGGAAATACGTTATGAAATAATAATGGTCGAGCAAACAGCTTTTTCCTGTAGACATTCCTTTCTCAAAACCGTCAGCTTTCTTATATTAAATTATAATGTAATTACACCTTCTTTCACCTTCTCAATGAAGTTAAATAAACCACAAGAATATTGTAATTATTTATATTTTGTCCATTTTTTTAAAAACATTTTACGACATTATAGCCAGCTAGTTTTTTGAAAACTCTAACATTACGAATACAATTAATATCGCTTATGATATCGAACTTTTTATTTTTGATATTACCAAGTATGTATATAAAGATACACTTGTAGTTGCTGCGTTGATTTTATTTACTCTTTTAGATTCTGAGTGGAGCGAGGAATATGTAGATATTATGATGATTTAAGACATTCAATGGTATTTTAGATTTTTACTCAAAAAGACTATTTTTATAGGAGAAAAAATCTTAAATCTTTAACTTTGGGAAAAACAAAAAATGAGAATTTTCAAACAAAATCAGTTTTTGACAAAATCGTTTTTGTTATTTTCTAAAACAAATCACCCTAAAATCTTTAAATATTAAACAAATGTTTTTACATTTTACATATATATATATATATATAAGTACAATTTTCAAAATATTTTGATTTGTCTAAGGTGTTTGGTCGAAATTAATTGAACCTACCATAAATTACTTAGGTTAAAATCCATTACTATATTAGCAATATAAATATGTCATAAAATATACTTATAAATATAGGCTGACAGACCGTCTACGGTACTCTCCACTCGAACCGTTTTTCGTATAAAATGATTTATTATTGAATGAAAATTTAACACAACCATTACAGTGACCTTACTCTATGACGAGGTTAACACAACGCCTATTGTATAGCAGAGGGGTTCTCGTACAATTTTTTAGTATTACACAAATAATTTCAATTCTATAAAATCAGTGATTTCATCTTTTAAAAAAACATTTTTAAATCTATTGTAAATAGTATTGATTTATTTGAAAATATGAAAGTATAATAAAAACTATCTGGCTTACATAAAAAGTAGCTTTAGTTTTCTTACTATATTTATTTTAACAGGTATTATAAGAAGACTCTTAACTTTCACTTATAATTATTAATTATAATATAGTTTGGAAACATTATTGCAAATAGTTTCATCGTATATTTAGTCATATTTTTATTGAATATTTTAGTTTCACTATTTTACATCGCATATATTTTCCTATTCGTCATTATTGATTAATTTGTATGTGTATATAATATTACTGCTACTTCGTTAGTTATTCTGATAATAATAATTGTTTTAATCAACAATAATATAAACTAAATTAACATAATATAATATATTTATTGTCACTTATAAAGTAATTAATTACAATATGCAGATACAAATATAAGACACTTAAAAATCTTTATTTACTGAATTTAATACATTTTTATAATATTGCAAAACCTAGCTAACAAGTACCTATTTTGGTACTCCTGAGTAAAGGCAATAATTTGTGTTTATATATTGTTATTGAAATGAATGCAAATATAAATTCTATCAACCAAAATACTTATTTTCAAAAATACGAATCACATATTATATTCATTTAATTTATTATTTATTTTATTGTAATGAAATATTAAATTGCAATCTAATTGTTTATTATTGAATAAATTCAGGTAGGCAACTAAAGCGCTCTTGATTTTTTGTATTATTTTGAATTTGATTCATTTCCAACGGGTACATCAGATATCCATCTATTGGCTGTTTATTATGAGTTAAAATACAAATGGATATTAGCTATATTCAATAAAACAACAATATTGTTAATGTTCCAATGTTTTGTTGTTTTTTTAATCTGTTTTAAGATGTGTTTATTTGTTATTTATATTAGTTCATCATTTAGGACATAGATCAAAGACAAATAATTGAAAATATTAACAGCTGAAAAAGCTTTAATGAGTTACCTACTTGTACAGTTATATAGGTTTATAAATAAATATAATAATATAATATATTATTACTAAATCCTCCCACGAGGGTTTATTAGTTTGAAACAATGAGATAGCCGATTTGTCCACATTTCAAAAAATACGAATATTTCCATTACCTGTTCAATTTTTATTCTGCCCGTAAATCGTTTCATATAGATCTACCCATAGAGAAAATTGAATTTTGTTTAAGACCAAAGTTAAAATATAAAAAAACGTGAACGATGTGAGACAGACGTGAATATGATTCGCTCGTACACCCTACATATCTTATAAGTATGACTACAGCAAATATAAACGAAATAACGAAAAACATTACAGAAACACTCACCGACAGCTATTCGATATTAAAATTGTATACGTGCAACCCTGGCCGCGGCGTGACGTTCGGTGGCGATACGGGTGACAGTAGTTCTGCAGCATCGCTGTTATCGCGTGATTTGTTCGCCAAAACGGTAAATTTAAATAATAATATTATCAAAACGAACATGCATATAGATATTATATTATATTATTATATAGAAAGAGAGAAAGGGAAAGAAAGAAATACCTAGTAAAAGCAATAGAGACCAGATATGTCAGCAAGTACGATAGATAGTAAAAGAGAGTGATAAAGAGACAAAAATAATTAAAACATATCAACGCATCAAATAACAATATTATTATTATAAGTGCATTAAATTTATGAGTGCATAAAATATGCACAAGTGAATTGTGAATAATACACGTGTTAGTAGACCACGACAGTTGACCGCAATTAAACGATTAATAAGACATTGTTTATTTTATACTTGGTTGTAAATGTATAATAGCTAATTACGGGGGCTACCTGCAGCTCTATCCCAAAGGTATGCGGTATAATATTATCAACTATGTATATGATAATAATAGTATTACGTTTGTTATAATAATATAATATATTATATCGAATACGTCGGAATAATAATTATTATCATCATCTGTAGACGGGATTTTGTCGCACGAATCGTAATAATACACACATAATATCATAATATTATTATACTAACCAGACGCGACAACGGCCGTGCATGTATTGTCAACGCGACGTTAATTTATCGGTTCGACCCTGCGACACGATGTCTGGCGCGACGCCGGGTTGGTGTCCGGTGGTGGATCGAGCGCGCAACGTGTCTAGTGTCCGCGTACCGACTGCCGTCGCTCCGGTCCGATCGCATCGCACTCACACAGTCACACACTCGTGTCCCTGTGTACGGAAGGTTCATCTGCGGCGGCGGCGGCGGCGGCGGCACTCGCGGATTCTGCGCAACCCCCTCGACGCACGCGATATTACCATTATTTATTATTATCATTGTATCACCTAAAATATGATATTTATACCGATATTATGTATTATTATAACATAATATATTACAATATGCACTGGGTGTTTCGTTTGTAGACGAACTCATTATGCCAAAAAAAAAAAAAAAAAACTATAATATACCTAATTAACTATATTTAAATGCTACAATTAACGGGTAAGGTTCACCTGCAGCAGCGGTGGCGTTGCCACTCGCAGATTCTGCGCAACCCAATCAACGTACTTACATGGTATTATTATTTTTATTCTATTGACATAAAGGCCGAGAATGGCTCAAGTACAGAATAATACAAATAAAATAGTTTAACAGTAAATAATTCAATTCGATTTCTACGATAATAACACGAACAAAATATAAATCTTAATGTCAACGAAAATTTAACATATTACATGACAGTGAACTCATAAAATATATAATGTTTATTTAAGTAAGAAAGAAGACTATTCTGGACTTCATTCCCAGACTCAGAACCAACAGAACCCTGCTAAGGCTATTATTATACCCATCCTTAGTTCTGTCAGTTGTAATATAAAAAGTAGGATACGTTCGAGGTAAATTAATTATTTTATGTAATTATATTACATAAAATATGATATAACCGATATGTATAATAGTATAATATTATACGTAGCGGATGACCGTTTAACGTAAGACGCACTCATTATTTCAAAACACCTATTAACGTCTATGAAAATATTTCTTTCACTTAAGTCATTGTAAAACAACATTTTTGGGAACAAATTATATTTATTAAGTTTTTTATTTTTTTGGATGACACTGTGCATTTTTAATTTGATATCAATAATAATTTCGATCTATAATAATCAAACATGGAACAAGTAGTTTATAAGTTGTATGTATTTAAATTGTATATTTTATACAATTATTATTATTCATATATGAAATTTAGATTACCTATTCAATAAATAATATAAAAACTCAGATAAAAATTAAAATTTACATTTTCAATATAAAAGTAAATATTTTGTACTGTATTTGTGCACTAGACTCGTCTGAGGATTACTTACATATAAAAACTACTTTTTATGAATATAGACTTAATAAGCTAATATTTCTGCTAGTTAAATCCAACAAATATAAAATATAATTGTTAAACTTATAAAATGTCATTAACACTGTTTTTTAATTATATTAATATATTACACCCCAACGCTCTATTGTATAGTATATGCAGTATGCACCTAAATTTATTATGTATTTTTTAGATCAATCGTGTAATCGGTATAAGTGTGCAGATCTTTATTTTATAGTATTAGAATTCCAACACTGCGTTATGTTAAAATGTTTAAAATCCAGTATATATTGTTGCATGTTTCATTTGTAATGAAGTTCTATTTTTTTCAAAACGTTTACTTGATCCATTTACTCGTAATAAATATTAATGACAGGTTGCTGTAGAAATATAATACATTAATGACCAACGAACGCTGCTAACTGTTCAGTAACCTATTACCAATAAATATCATGTTCCGAGCATTTATCAGTACTTATATCTATAATGGAGTATACTGATAAATAACCGTTAAATAAATGTCCAACTAGCTAAAATAATACACCCTGAATAGACTGAGCGCATAGGCTATAGTGTGCAGTAGTACATAATAAATTTAGTATTTGCTCCCTACATTTTTATTCACATAAACAGGGATATAAACTACAACTAGCATATAATACGATAAATTACAATGATTCCACGAAACAGATGAAAAAATTTGATGTATAGGTTTATTATAATATTTAATACCTTAAAATATTATAAAATGTGAATAAATTGCAGATGATAAGACCATACCAACTTTAATTATCACACAGCACAATAGCAGTTAAATAAGTTAGGTATTAAATAGATAGTATGAAATTGTTAAGCATATAAAGTATATAATTATACTAGCGTTGATGTGGAATGATCAGATATTAAAATTAATAATTTTAAATGACTAGGCTTATCCAATAAAAACCAAATCATTAGACCTTACAGTACAAAAACAATGTATGATTTTATAGAAGTAAGTGACATTTTTTTTTTATGCATATATAGGCATGATAGTAGTTTTTATTTATACAATTAGGTGAAAATCAGATAATATTAATTAAATTTATAAAATCACAGGTAAATATAAATATGGTACAGTTATTAAATTACTTTTGATCTTCCTCTAGCTAGGAGGAACCGTGACTTACAATCTATAAACTGATGGAAGTAAGTTGACGGACAAAAAAATGAGTACTTTTTATGAATTGAATAGAGTAAAAGTGATCATTTTGGGTAAAAAGTAAAGTAAAATTGTACGTGTTCATAAAATAATAATAAAACATTTTAATTTTTGTGAATGGAAAAGTATAAGAATTTCCATAAATATATTTTAATAAATTATAATGATATATAACAATATAAATTATAGTTTATAAGTAAGCACTTATCATGGTCGAAAAAGTAATACAATTTGGAGCATTGATACTTGAATGGACATTTTTTTTTTGATTTTTTTATGGAATTAGTAGAATTTGTCTAAATTGTAGGTAGTTAGTATTTAAAGTTTAAACATGGTTCTGTTTTGACGAAAATTGGAGATATTTTTGTGTTTAAATATATTATGACTTTTTGTGCTTGGCTCTTCCTCGGGTTATTGATCATGTTAGAATATCCATAATAATTTATTGTAATGATACAATAATAATGAATTTTAAACATCTATTTTTGTTGTAAAGTCTTTTTTGTTATTTTTTTTAATGTCGACCCATAATAATTTTGAATAGAATTGAATAGAGGATTTAAACGGAAACTGTGTACATAGTAAAATAAACATGTATGGTTTGCCACTTGGTTATATATAGGTATTATACAACAGGGGTTGGGAGGAGGGGTTATGTTAGTACTTTAAGGATTGTGATGTTGGTAATGTTTAAATTGATTGTTTAATTTCAGTATTGCCCGTCGAAGGCCTGTTGCGATTTATTAGTCATACGTCATGGTGGTATTTCTTGTCAACTCAATAGTATTAGAAACAATATGTATTCATTTTCTGAATAAAGTTTAATTTTAGACATATAAAGATTAAAAATTATGTTGGTTGTCCAAATTTAGCGACGTTGCTTGTTATTCTGACACTAAGCATAAAGGTATTTGAATACACAAGCAATAAGGCAGTAGGTACTTGCAAAATATAAGATGGAGTTATGAATAATTTTATATTTTATCATTAAAACAATTTCTTATACTCGTGTTCATTCTTATAGTTTGTTAAAATAAAGATTGAGATTTAATAGTTCATAAATTTAGTTGTCAAAAACACATTATATACATGCGCAAACGAACATGTCAATGAGTTTTAATAGTTACAATCTATTAATCTAACTGTTACATACTAACATATTTGTTTTTTTGCTTTCGATGAAATTTGATGTAATAGTATTTAATAGTGAATACCTCATACTTGCCTATATTGTATATAAATTGTATAGGTGCTAAAGAAATAACAAAGTAATACCTGAATGTTGACATGTCGATTTACCACACAGTACGTTTTTCGGGAAGGCGTGATGCCGCTATTATGTATTTAGTTTTGTAATCTGATTAATTTTAGTCTAATATTTTAATTTAGTTTAATTAATACAATTGCGCTTGGCATATAAAATAGTAAATACAAATTATTAATGTAATATTATTAAATCTTGTATTCAATATTTGATGAGTAATCGCAATAAATGGACAATTTAATGTGAGTATTGTAAAGTAAATACAACAAGACTTTGGTTCGAATTAAAAATAAGGAAAGTTCATTGAAAATTTGGATTATAATTTTGCAAGTGACATCCAATCTTATACGAGTAAGTATGTCCTTTTCCCGAGTAATACTTATTCCATAAACGTCAATTATCATCATCGTTGATAAAATGTTGTACAAGCGTTGACGTACTAAATCTCTTTTGAGTTTTTCAACATTTATTCATCACGTTCTACACATCCCATCGTTTGGGGCCGAATACTTATCGATCTTTACACTTGTTACACAACTATGAAGTCTAGTACAGCAACATGCCATGGAATTTAATGTGGTTATATATATTATATAATATATATATATACAAATATATATATATAATGTATATACAAATAGATGTGCAAAGATAGGCGCTATATTGTCATTAGAATTAGTATATTTCTGAGATAATATTATGTGAAAACTTCCATGTATTGAGAAAAATGAAATGTAAATGCCGATGATTATAATATATCTATTGGACTGCATGCAACCCACTGTCACACATATACTTTCAAAAAATGCTAAACAAGTATCACTGTTGCTATAAAACTTATTTTATAATTGTAGTTAGGTACGCTTTAAATTAAGCTGTAAGATAAAGCATTATATTATACTTAAAAACAGGATATAAAAATGTATAATTAGAATAAGTATAGACAGTTAATTAATCATATCTTCTGTAAACCCTTGCAATAAAAAAAAAATATATTTATTATAAGATAATATCAAAATATTGAAATTAATATAACACAAGTATTCTTAAAATTACAAAAGAGCATAACACATTGAAATGAATACAAATCAAGAGTGCCAACATGGGTTCACTAAATCCATGTGTCATAATTCACATTTGTTAATAATTTATTGGATTTAATGCGGTTTATAGATGTGCAAAATTAGGTGGGATACCTACAGAAAATAGAACTAGTTCATGGCTGAGATATGAGGAGAAGACTGTTGTGTATACATATAGGTATGTACGTAATCTGATGCAAAATATCACAAAAGATGCATAAAAATGCGACATTTACTTGAATTCAAACCGACTTCATAGTGTACATCAAATAAACTCGACAGGG